TCTAAAGTACTCAGGAGCAACGGTGTCTCTCGGAAAACAAAGGGCACCCGAATACAGGCCATGGTCTTTGCAATCGCTTGTTATGCATCAGAGAGTTGGACAATGACTAGGGAGGACAGAAGAAAAGTTGATGCCTTTGAGCTGTGGTGCTGGAGAAGGGTACTGAATGTACCATGGACTGCCAAGAAAACAAACAGATTCATCTTGGAGAGGATTAAACCAAGCTACTCCTTGGAGGCAAGGATTCTGGGGCTTCATTTGACATACTTTGAACATGTTGCCAGGAGGGACAGGTCCTCCTTGGAGAGGGACATCATGCTTGGGAGGGTGGAGGGACGGCGCAGGAGGGGAAGACCCTCTATGAGATGGATTCATTCGGTGACTGGGGTAATCGGTATGGGTGTGTCAGAGGCAGTGCGGTTGGTGTAGGATAGAGCAGGATTTAGGGCTGTTGTGCATAGGGTCGCTATGAGTTGCAAACAACTCGATGGCACATAACAACAACAACAACCTCCACTGGAAAATATTTTTTTTATTGTGGCCCCACTAGAGGCACAATTTATTCCTGACATTTAAGCACCTTCCTGCTTGTCAACCAGTCTTTCTCAAGTGGTCCCATGAAGACCTTCTTCTCCATTGTCTGAAAGTGGCCACATCATGGCCAAACTTGGAGATGGTGCAGATGAATTTGAGATCAATCTTCTCTAGAGGCTGGCATTTGGTCTGCACCAGTAGGGACCTGAGGAAAGTCAGCAGTCACTCCTTGGTCCCCACCTTGCAGCCTTTCAGCATGACAAAGCTGCTGTTCATTTTCACCGTAGTGGACAAAGCAACCCGAGGACTGTTGCTCTTGTCTGAGAGATAGTAGTTGCCTTCAATCCAAGCATGACTCATAGCAACCCTATGAACAAAAGGCCTGAAGCCCCTCTACAACTATCGACATTTATCAAAGTTCATAGAGTTTCCGGAGGTATGTTGTTTAGGAAGTGGATGCCACTCCTACTTCCAGTCTTCCTACTGCTGAAGTCCTTTTCTAACAGCTTCCTGCCATCCTCACCCTGCCATTTCTTGCAGTAATTGGTGAAAACCTTATTAGACTTGTGCCCATTCTTGTAGAAGCACCATTTGTACTCATATATGATGTGTCAGCAAACTGTCTTGAAGGTGCGGAGGCCACAAGGAATAGGAGTGATTTCCATGTAGCACTGCCAAGAAAACAAATATGTCTGTCTTGGAGAGGGTGAAACCAAGTATCTTCTTGGAGGCTAGGATTTTGAAGCTCCACCTCACTTACTTTGGGCATGTGGCCAGGAGAAATCAGTCCTTGGAGAAGGACATCATGTTTGGAAGGGTGGATGGACATTGCAGGGGAGGAAGACCCCGGATGATATGGATTGATTCAGTAACTGGGGCGAAGGGGGAAGGTGTGTTTGAATCAGTGAGACTGGCTCAGGACAGGGAGGGGTTCAGAGCTGATATGCACCACAGGCGACTCAATGGCACATAACAACAATAACATTCTATGACAGATTTGGAAGCTGGAGTGGCAGCCACTTCCTAAACAACATGCCTCCAGAAACTCTATGAACTTTGATAAATGTCAATAGTTGTAGAGGGTCCTCAGGCCTTTTGTTCGTAGGGTCGCTATGAGTCATGCTCGAGTTGAAGGCAATCAATAACAACAACAGCTAGGCCCACAGTCACCCTGGGGGGTGTCTCTACAATTGTCACAGACTCCATCACATCCTTTTTATTCCCATTATACCTCATCCTGTCCACCTCCCTCACAGTGTGAGTCATGCCAGCCTTGTGGTCCAGGAAGGCCATGTAGTGGACAGGCTTGATGGTATCAACCTTGGAGAAGCTCTTCACCTTCCACTGGTGCCGACTGCTGTGTTTCTGAGGCAAGGAGCCCAAAGACCCGTGGCTTTGTTCAGAGGACTTCCTATGAGATATTCAGCCATCCATTCCCACTGATAGAGCTTCAAATCAATTCTTAAAATGATTTTTAAATTCAGATGAGGTAGATTCAAGATTATATTTTGGTATTTGAGGACTTGTTTTCATTTTCTTCAACATCAGTTTGAAATTGCACATAAGTAATTGATAGTCTGTTCCACAGTCAGCAACTAGCCTTGTTGAGCTTCTCCAGAAATTCCTTCCACAGATGTAGTCAATCTGATTCCTACACAGTCCATCAGGTAAGGTCCGTGTGGAAAGTCACCATTTGTATTTTTGGAAAAAAAAGTATTTGCAATGACTGCATCATTGAACATACAAAACTCCTTCTATTTCCTTCCTTGTTTCTATCACCAAGTCCACACTTTCTGACTACCATTCCATCTTCATTGTTTCCAAACTTTGTATTCCAGCCACCAGTTATTATTAATGCATCATGATTGCACAGTTGGTCAATTTCAGACCACAAAATTTGATCAAAATCTTCCATTTCTTCCTCTTTGGCATTAGCTCTTAGTACATATATTTGCATAATAGTCATATTAACAGTCCTTCCTTGTGTTCATATGTATAATATCCTATCACAAACATTGTACTTCAAAATAGAACTTAAAATGGTCTTTTAAACTATGAACGCACACCACGCTTCCTAGTTTTCATGCACAGCATAGGATACTATGTGATTGTCTGACTCAGTGTCCAAAGCCAGTCCATCTCATCTCACTAACACCTAGAATATTGACATATGTTCTGTTCCATTTTTCACAACTTCTAGTTTTTCAACATTCATACTTCATATATTCCATGTTCCAACAATTAAAGGATGTTTGCAGCTGTTTCTCTTCATTTTGATTTACTTCAAATCTGGTCTCTACCTCTAATACTATTAACTAATCTTGTTCCTCTATTGTACATAGGGCTTTCAGAGGCCTGCTATTTCAGAAGTAGATGGACAATCCTGCTTCCTAGTCTGTCTTAATCTGGAAGCTCTGCTTAAACCTGTCTGCTTTGGTTGGCCTCCCTGACACGTGATAGATCAATGGCACAACTTTCATAGCACCCACAAGATATTCCCATTCTACAACGACTAATATATAGGTGTTGTCTCAAACAGAAAACCACAAAGACAATCAGACATATAATATTAAAGTGAAGGACAGCCTCTTCTGGCCCCAGCTAAGGACTCTGATGGAGCATGGAGTTCCAGATGGTGGTATTATGGTACAGTATATGCATCAGAGAGTTGGACAATGACTAAGGAGGATAGAAGGATAATTGATGCCTTTGAGCTTTGGTGTTGGACATGAGTATTGAGTGTACCACGGACTGCTAGGAAAACAAACAGATTCATCCTGGAAAGGGTTACACCGGGTTGCTCCTTGGAGGCAAGGATTCTAAGGCTTCATCTGACAGACATACTTTGGACATGTTGTAAGGAGAGGCTGGTGCTTGGAGAAGGACATCATGCTTGGGAGGGTGGAGGGACGGCACAGGAGGGGAAGGCACTCTCGGAGGTGGATTGATCCAGTGACTGGGGTAATCGGGATGGGTGTGTCAGAGACAATGAGATTGGCACAGGACAGAAGAGAGTTTAGGGCTGTTGTACATAGGGTTGCTATGAGTCGCAAGCAACTTGATGGCACACAACAACAACATATAGTGTGGCACAAGTTCGTGTGGGTCAGCTGGATCCTTAGTGCTGGTGCTTGGTCACAAGGCCCAAGGGACTAGAGTACACCTTTTTCAGGCTATGGACTTTTCAATCACTTAATATGCTGCTGAGAGCTGGACAGTGAATAAGGATGACAGAAGAAGTATTGATGCCTTTGAACTGGTGTTGAAGAGGAGTATCAAACATCCCATAGACTGCCAAGAGAACAAACAGATATATCTTGGAGAAGATGCAGCCAGAGGACTCCTTAGAAACAAAGATGATAAAGCTTCGTCCCATATGCCTTGGGCATGGTGCTAGAAGGGGCTATTTATTGGGGAAGAACATCAAGCTTGGGAAAGTGAAGGGAGGGTGGATTGACACAGTGACTGCAGCAATGGCTCGAATATGTTAGGGATTGTGAGGATGGCACAGGATAGGACAGGATTCAGATCTGTTGTTCATAGGGTCATACTCCACTTGACAGCGCCTAACAACAACAAAAACATCAACCCAAGCAGGGAGGTTTCATGGAGAAGGTGTGCAGGGGTATCCTCATGCCTGGGGGATGCAGCTGGTTAATATGCTCGCTGCTGACACATGCTCTCAAACACTGGTGGGTCTCTCTAAGGACTCTACCACTAATCTGTATGTCAGTTTTTCACTCCATCGTAGAAGACTGTGTATCTTTCTGATGCTAGAAGTTGTATCAAATATCAGCAGGGTCATCCATAGTGGTCAGGTTTCAGCACAGCTTTTAATATAAGGTAGTCTAGGTGGAAAGGCTTTGTAATCTATTTCCAAAAATTAGTCCAAGAAAGCCCTGTAGCTCACCATTGAATATTGTCCAACACGTCATCAAAAAGATCAATCACAGAAGAGGGGCATCATGTTTGGTGAACAAGGGGCCATCGAGGGGGAAGGAGGCCTTCAGTGAGAAGGTAGTTACTTCAGTGGTGTACTCGACCATGTCAGTGGTTGTGAGAATGGTAAATGGCAGGCAGTGTTCCCTTCTGCTATATGAATCATGAGTTAAAATGATCTGAGTCGCAATGAGTTAAAGTCAACAGCCCAGGTGGCCAAAGACCCATCATATCTGTCATCCATGGCAAGAAGAGCTATAAAATCAAAGGCTCCTGAAGATGGCCGCGAAGCATCAAAGCTGATGACCAATAAAGAACTTTCCCCACTGGATTAGGGAGTCCATAAGGTGGACTCATGTTGCCTTTGTCCTGTGTCCTCATCAACATGGAATCTGATCTCTGGTGAGATGGGTTCTCAATAAGGGTTTGCTTAACGGACAGATGGGTGAGGAATGGATGGATGGATGCCTCAGTATATAACATGAATGAAAGAGGTAAGTGAAAGGCACTGAGGGCCACCAGTGTACCTGCATCTCCTTTGTCTCCCTTTGCTCCATCTCGCCCATCTCTTCCCGGCAGTCCGTTGTGTCCAGGATTCCCGGGGATGCCAGAATGCCCTTGCCTGCACACATCCTGTGAGTTTATACTCCCTATGCAGGCCCCGATGGCGAGCAGGACCCAGCAGAACCTCATGGCTCAGATGACAGAGTCTGTACAAAGAGAAACAGCTTTTCATTCTAAAACACAGTTTTGTTTACTTTAGGTTAAACATATTCCTTGTCTTTAACAAAATACATCTTACCCATTTAATCTAGCCAAAGATTGTATCTTTTCAATTTTGTTAGTTTACAGAGCAGGTTGGCTTTCCACTCAACAATTCATGACATTGATGACAAGTCTTATGTTGGAACAGAAGTCTGCTCGCACTCTCCTCTGTTTCCCACCTCCATTTGGCCCTATTTTCTACTTGTTCCTGTCTTCTGAACCTTATTCCTGGATAAATGTGCCCCTTTGAACTTGCATAGTCAATTGTTCTAACCAGTGCCTCCTTCCATGATGTTACCAGTCACCTTATAAGCCTGCCTACTATTTCTAGAAAGTTGAGTCACTGGAGTGATTTAAGACCAAAGTTGAAGCATGATTAAAGACCATAGATGTGGAGTTCCAACACTTTTTATTAGATCTATAAATCTGGTTTGGTTTTTTATGAAAAAAAATTTCTTTTCCCCTCACATTTTTCTCCTACTCCAGGAGAAACTCTATGATCTTTTTCAGGGCAGTCAGCATGGTCACTCAGGCCCTCTAGTTCTTCTGGTCTCAGGAATTTGGAGGCTTAAGTTCATGTGTTCCATTAGATCTTTGGATAAGTCCAAGATTTCAAGTTACCAAAAGGATCTTGGAAACAGTTTTAAGCTTAAATATTGTCTCTCACTACCATCAAGTTGGGTCCAATTTTTAAAAGTATATCAACTTACAAAACAATAACAACAACAACAAAAGTATACCAACTTCTATAATGTATATGAATTAAATACAATGTTCACAAGTTTTGTAAGCAAACCAATACAAATTTTTTTTAACAACAACAACAACAAAAAAGCATATCAACTTGTCAAAGTCCCAGATGGAGGGTTCTCGGATCCTTCTGGACTCAGATGAACCCATTTTTAAAAATTAGCTAAGTCCTCTGTCAGACTCAGTGCTTTTCCCTTGGACTTAGTACAAGAAGAGTGCTTGAATGAACCAAGTGGAAACCAGTCGTGAAACCTGGGCACCAGACAGAAGTATCCAAAGTGGAAATAGAGAAAGTAAATAGGAACCCAGTTCCCCAAAGGGACCACTCAAAACTCAAGTCAGCTTTGATACAGTCAGTCCACTTCCTGGCAACTTGTGTTTGTAGAGCGAGAACAGAGAGCCCCTGCTTTGAATCTCCAGCACGATTACACACACCCCTCACTTACCAGCTTAAGTGCCAAAGACCAGGTTGTTAGGTGAAATCAGCATTAAGCAAGAGTTGGGGCCATGCCTCCTCCTTGGGCGTTCTCCCTTTTTGGGATGCAAGTGATATGGTAAATCTCCTTTCCCACCACACCTCTATAATTGTGGAGCCTTTGGGTTTGGGAGTGGTAGTGGTGGTGGCCAGGTATTGCCTATCACTCACGACCTGCCTTGTCCAGGAACTTCTCTTGTCCCTCATTTCTTTTGGCCCTCCTCCCCTCTTCCTTTCCTCACTTCCTTGTCTTTCTCCTCCAACATCAGTCCCTTATCCAGTCTTCTCTACTCAACAATAACCTTGAATTGTCTGCTGTAACTCCACACTCTGGGACTGGACCAAGAGATCCAAGGTATCCTATGGTGAGGTGCTCACTGTATCTACTAGTGTGTCACTTGATCTGACCTGTGGTCTGACTGCAGTCTCATGTGGGACTGAGACCATCAGAGACACCACCTGAGAATGTGTCAAAGTTCCTAAAAATGCAAGATGTCAGATAATGAGATGGTCAGTAAGTGAGGAGTAGGGGTATGCCAAAACTGAGATCCAGTCAACGAGCTGTCAAAAGAGACAAGGATTCACTTACTTCCCCCCCAAAAAAAGAAAAAGATAAGTCTGACTTACCAAGATGAAGACTAGGTTCCAGATTGATTTTCTAAAAAAACACCTAGAACTCAAAATACAAAGAGTGGGGATGAAACCCAGAAAGCCGTGCCCTGCAGATCCTATAAGATTCTATGAGAGTGGACACAGGGGTCCTAGTGAGCACCAGCACCTTTTTCTCAGCAGTTAGCCTGGGTTATTCAGATCCCACTTCTGACACCAGAACTGTCAAAAGAAATAAAGAAAAATCTAATTAATAAATCAGTTTTATTGTATTGGGCAGAAATAAACCTATAGCAGGGGGCTCATTCCTGAGAAATAAGCCTACTACTTTACAACTGTGACTATCTTATAGACACTAAAAACTGCTAGAAAATTTCCTAAAGAGAATTTTGAGATATTGGTGCTTGTTCTTTTAATTAGCAGAATAATTGGTTTTTAAGGGGTTTTGGTGTTTTGTTTTGTTTTTTTTTTCATTCTATAGACTGTTGTTGTTATATGCTTTCAAGTCAGAACTGGCTCATAGCTGGTCCTCCAGTGACTTTTCAGAGGCAGTGAATCACATGGGAGAAGAGTGAGCATTCTTCCAAGAAACTGCTTGTAGATTGAAGCCACACATTCTTTTGGGTTGGCAATGCAGCTCCTTGCCAGTAGGCTACTAAGGCTCCCTTTCTATAGACTGTTGTTGTTATGTGCCATCAAGTCGCTTGTGACTCATAGCGACCCTATGTACAATAGCTCTAAAGACTGTCTTGTCCTCACCAGTCTCACTGACTGTGACACATCTATCCCCAATGACCTAGTTTATTGTATAATCCATCTCATCCGGGATCTTCCTCTCCTGCACTGCCCCTCTACCCTTCTGAGCATGATGTCCTTCTCCAAGGATCAGTTCCTCCTGGCCACATGCCCAAAGTATGTGAGACAGAGCTTCAAAATCCTAGCCTCCACAAGAGACCCTGAATAAGCAAAACACTTCTGAGAATCAAAAATGAGGTTAGAGGTATAGCACTCCCTGAACTCAAAACCTACTACACAGTGGTAGTACCCAAAACAGATGGTACTGGTACAATGACAGGCACATAGACCAATGGAACAGAATTGAGAACCCAGAAATAGACCCAGCTATCTATGGTAAACTGATATTCGACAAGGAAATCAAAGCTATCAAATGAAGAAATGATAACCTCTTCAACAAATGGTGCTGAGAAAACTGGACTTCCACTTGTAGAAAGCTGAAACAGGATTCACATCTCACACCATACACAAAAATCAACTCAAGGTGGATCAGAGACCTGAGAGTAAAGCCCAAAACCATAATGTTCTTAAGAGACAAAATGGGATCAAGCTTAGAAGTGCTAATCCAAGGTATAAAGAAACTGCCAAATACAACCATAAATGCACAATCTAAAGAGGATAAAATTGATGCATGGGACTGTCTAAAGATTAAATCCCTGTGCACATAAAAAAATCTTTTTCCAACAGGGTGAAAAGAAAACCTACAGACTGGGAACAATCATTTGGCAATACCATCTCAGACAAGAGTCTTTTTATTTTATTTTATTTTTTTAAGAGTCTTATAACAAAAGTTTACAGAATACTCCTGGGCCTCCACAAGAAAAAGACTGATAACCCAATTACAAAATGAGAAAAAGACAAGGAAAGAATTTTCACAGAGGAAGATATCCGAATGGCAAACAGACACATGAAGAAATGCTCCAAATCACCGGCAATAAGAGAGATGCAAATAAAAATCACAATGAGGTACTATCTCACGCAGAAACAGTGGCAAAGTTTAACAAGGAAGCAAGTAATAAATGTTGGAGAGGATGTGGTTAGAAAGGAACATTGTTGTTGAGATTATAAAATGGTGCAAGCATTCTGGAAGGCAGTGTTCTGAGCTGGTGCTTCCTCAAAAAGCTGAACATAGAAATTCCATATAATCCAACTATTCCATTCCTTGGAATATACCCTGAGAATATGAGAAATGAGGCACAAACTGAGATTTGCATACCAATGTTCACTGCAGCATTATCCACCATTACAAGAACATAGGAACAGCCCAAGTGTCCAACCACAAAGGAATGGATTGAGAAATTATGGTACATTCACACAATGGAATACTATGCAGCAGGCAGGAGCAATGATTTTATAAATTATTACCTAACTTGAGAAGGACTGGAGAGCATTATGCTAAGTGAACTCAGTCCCACAAGGATAAATATTGTATAAACCATTATTGTAGAATGAGTACAAGGATCCAAGAGTGGTGGGAGAGATTGGAAGCAGAGGGATGTGGATGTGGATGTGCAAGGGAAGAGGGTGGATTAATAATCAAGTTGTAAATTGAAAGAATTTGTTCAAATATGTATTAGAATTTTGTAAATAAACTAGTAGAAAAGAAAAAAAAATCCTAGACTCCAAGGAGAAACTTAGGGTTTCACTTCTCCAACAGAACTATTTGTTTTCTTGGCAGTCCACGGTATATACGTTCAAGACTCTTCTCCAGCACCACAACTCAAAGGCATCAATTCTTCTTCTATCATCCTTAGTGATTATCCAACTATCCAATACATAGAATGTAATTGCAAAGACCATGGCCTGGATTAGGTGTACCTTAGTCTCTAGACTGACATAATTGCTTGTCAATACTCTGGAAAGGTCTCTGACTACAGGTGCGTGCAGTGCAATTGGCCTTTTGATTTCCCAGCTGCTGGTGCCAAATGTGTTTGATCGAGGAGCCGAGCAAGCTGTTAACTGTTAACAGCCTCAATCTCTTCTCCATCCGTCATTGTGCTGCCAACTGGTCCAGTAGTTAGAATCTTTGTCTTCTTGATGTTGAGCTTCAATCCATATTGAAGACTATAGTTCTTGACCTTCTGCAGCAAGCACTTCAGGTCTTCCTCAGTTTCAGTAAGCAAGGTTGTGTCATTTGCATACAGATTGTTGATGAGTCTTTCTCCAATCCTGATGTCACATTCCTCCTCATAAAGCTCAGCCTCCAAAATGATTTGTTCTGCATATAGATTGAAAAGATATGGAAACAGGACACATCCCTGACACACTTCCTTCCTGATTTTGAAACATGCAGTGTTTC